TGGCCAATCCATTAATTCTAAAAAATCTGTAATCATTTTTGGAAAGAATGTTAATAGAAGAAGGAAAAAAAAGCATCTCTAAAACTGTGGGCTTTAAACAAGTTAAGGAGCTTGTTTATTTGGGTATTAAAATGGCCTTGAGAAGATTGGTAGCTAGTGATTACTATTTTATTATTGAGAGGACTCTCAAGAGGCTTAACATTTGGGGAAGTAAGGAATTATCCTTGGCTGGAAGACTTACGCTAACCAAATCAGTTATTTTAGCTCTTCCAAATTTTTACAGCACACATTCTTTGATCCCTGTCAGGATTTTAAAGGAGGTTGAAAAATGATGCAGAGGATTTATCTGGAATAAATCCGGCGGTAAAAAGGGTATGCATTACTTCAATGGGGAGGACTTATGCAAACCCAAAAGCTGCGGTGGTGGAGGCTTATTCTCTCCTACTTCTAGAGTGGCTCCTTTGAGAGCTAGAATTACTTGGAGGTATCTTTCTAATAAAAATTCTCTTCTACATAAATTTATTGAACCAAAATATGGTATGAGAGTTGGTAATGAAGTAGTCAAGAAGAGCTCCTCGTCTTCCTGGAAGATTATATGTAATGGAGGAAGAGTTCTTTTTCCTTTCATTAAATGGAGTATAGCTGATGGTTCAGCTATTGATGTCTTTAAAGACTATAGGATCTTGGATAGGAGAATAGACAAATGGCCTACATTTGTTGTTCCATAAACAGATGAAGAAATCAAGTTAAGGAATTTTATTCAAAATGGAAGATGGAAAGTAGATGATCTGGAGCAGGTCTTTGGTATTGATTTGATTAATCTGATTATTAATATCAGAATAAATGAAGACCAAACTATTGATGACAGGGAACTTATCTATCAATATTCGGGTAAAACAATCACAGGAATGATAATTGAATCCTACTTTCAGCATCAAGATGTTATCAGGTGGAACGATTGGATTAAGAAAGCCAAAATTAATCCAAGGGTGCAGGTTTTCTGTTATAGGCTGTTTAAAATGCTTTGCCATCTTTCCAGTTCCTTATTCATAGGAGATTACAAGAGAACGAAACTTATCCCAGATGTGTTTCAGGTATTGAAGACATTGAACACATTCTTCTCAAATGCATTAAAGTAAGAGAGGTGATTTGAATTATGAATGTTTGGGGTTTTCAAATTCCTGTATTCGAAAATTTGGAAGACTGTTGCAAATGGCTAGATACAACATCCAAGGTTAATGGTATGTTTATTAAACTTTATTTTAATGTTGTGCACCTCTCTTGGAAAGCTAGGAATAAATTCTTACATGATGGAATTGCTGAAAGTGCAAAATTTATAGAAGCTAATGCAATTATCTTGTCATCATTCTCTAAAATGATTTTTAACTTATGTCCGGAAAATGGAGATGTTAATCAGTCACATTGGCTGTCCAATATTTGGCATCCCCTACCACCTGGTTGGTTAAAGATCAATGTAGATGCCTCCCTTAGCTCTTCATATAAAGCTAGTGTTGGTGGTGTTGCTAGAGATTGCAAAGGAAGATTCTTATTGGCATTTGGCAAATCTTTTACTCATTGGGACATTAATCAAATGAAATTTCTTGCTATTAAATCATTGAAAGAGGTTATCAAGGATTGGATGTTCAAATATAAGGGAGCAATCATAGAAAGTGACAATTCAAATGTGATTAAAGCCATACACCATACCATGACTCAAGATTTCAAAGGTATGGAAGATTTGGAATTCCTTAAGGATTTTAATAATGTTTTATTCAAATGCATAACAAGAGATGGGAATAAGCTAGCGGATTTGTGTGCTAGCTATGCTTTAGTTTTTTATTTTATTTGGGAAGACTTATACTTGGATAAGTTTCCTCCTCCATTTGTTAAGATAATGAAGGAGGAATCTACTTTGTAGTTGTTTCTTTCTTTTCCTTTTTATTATTAATGCAGCTTATGCTTTTCTCAACAAAAAAAAGGTTCAACATGATAGCTCTTCTAATACAATTGCTGGAAAGTATAACCATAAAAAATATTCATATGCCAAATCATTGAAAGAATTTATTGTAAACATCTAAATTCATTGAAGTTCAAAGTTGGGGCTTTTAGCCTTCAGGTTTAAAGCAGAGTTCCTGATTGAGGGTCTGAAGTTGAAAAGTGAGCAAAAATAAGAATAAACATTTACACTAGGGATCATGACACTATCTATAGTGGGGTGTATTCAAATTATTTTAAATCTTAATTAAAATAAAATTAAATATCTGATCTCTACAGGTAATAAATTTCATGTAAAAAAGTAATGAGATGTCTCACAAGTTAAACAATAATTAATATTTAACTTGATCAAAATTTTAATATACTTAAAAATAAGATAACATCTAATAATAATTTAATATTTATATGAATACATAATAAAAAAATTTGCAATTACTTGCATCATGAGTTTAGATGGCTCATATATAATTTATTAAAAGTTTAATTTATAGTAATTTTTTAATTAGAAAATATTAAAAAAATTATTTTAAATCTATCATTCAAATTTTTAAAAATATATTGAATATTTATATTAACACTTGGTATAATTAAATTATTAAAAAATATAATAAAAGTGAAAGATATTAATCAAGATTTTATTATGTTCTTTAAATTTTATAAATAGAATAATATCTATTAATACCAGGTTGTAAAAATCGGACCGGACCAAATATATAAATTTATAATATTAAAATTTTATATTATAAATTCTTATAATATATTATAACAAATTTATAATACACATTTAAAAATTTGCAGCTCAACCAGCCCAAATTCATAGCCCAATAAAATCAAAATTCACATTCTAATTCATATAGTATTCATTTAATTTTTTTAGTCCAACATCATAGGAGTTTGAAGTAGTTCAAATTACTAGATGCGCCAAGAAGGGGTGAATTGGATGATTAAAAACTTCTTTAATGAAAAGAAATATTTTTTTAATACTTTATGCAGAAGCAAATTTCATTCATAATAAAAAGATAGATAATCAATTTCACCCATGCAATTAATCACAATAAAAATGAATGCGAAAATAAAGTGCATAAATAATAAGGAAAGAACACACCGAATTATAGTGGTTCGATCAAACCATGACCTACGTCCACTCCCGGATGCACCCTCCGAGTATTACACTAAACCTTTAGTGATTCTCCTTTAGCCCCCATAGTTAGGCGGAGAAGTCCTTACAAAATCACTTCCACCTTCCCCAGTGCGGCAGAGGAGCCTGGTCCTTTGACACCAACGAGATCTTCTTCTTCCCAAAACTTCCTTCAAGACGAACCTTGAATCTGATGGTACTGAGGTGCAAGCTCACCAAAGCAACCGTGTAAAATCTCCTTCACACTCCCTTGAAACCCCCTCCAAGGTTCTTCCCCCTCTCTCAAACTCCACCCTTTCCTCTCTCCCTTTCAAGTCCTCTCTTCAAGTTTTCTCTAGAAAAATGAAGCTATAATGGCTGCCAAAAGACTCTTACAAAGTCTTATGAGAGTGCTTAAATAGAGGGCTTCAGCTGCCAAAGATCGTACTACACGATCGTAAGATTGTCCAGTACTATGTGCAGAAATTGACTTGTTAGTATTATACGATGTCCAGTTAGTACTGTACGAACAGTTCAGTTGAAGTTCGTATTGTATGATGCCCTGTACGATGTGCTGTACGAACAGTTCAATAAAAGTGCAGTTCGTCGAGGACGAAGCATGGGATGGCCAGAATTGTCTATGTTGATCGTATAGTACGATCCAGTTCGTACAGTACGATCAAAATATTAAAATTAAGTCGTTTTGATTGAATAATCACAGGATTAAATTAGGCAATATTTTAAACATCGTACAGTACGAGAATGATTGTACAATATGATTAGAACAACTTTTCAAATTCAAATCTTTGCCTAATTTAATGGACAGCAAGCTTTCTAATTATAACAGCTCGTACAGTACAATGTGGTGATCGTACAGTACGATGTGGTGATCGTACAGTACGATTAGTTATATTCAAAAATAATTTTTCCAGGAAAACACCAGATCGTACAGTATGATACATATCGTACAGTACGATGAACAAGAAAGTTAAAATTTTTATAATCATTTTGTGCTCCGTCTATGTGTGTGCATGATCAACAAATTAACATACATAATTACAAGACTTGACTCAATAAATGAAAATTACAGACTCATTTAATACGATCAATTCTATGCAATCTTGAGCCTTGAATCTTCAAAGAACAGTGCATGATGTACCTAAAATATTATTCAACATAGAAAGAAATATGCACTGCAAATACTAGGAGAAATAAAAGATTAATAAATATTATTTGTTATCATCAAAACCATAAACTCGAAAGCCCGTGTTGCAACAGTAGTTATCTTTAATCTTTTATACAGTATGAAGTACACACTTTTAACGAAGCACGTTATGTAAGATAATATGCATATATTATGATGTAATTAATTATCATATTTAATAAAAATATTTTTAAATGTTAAAAGAATTTAATAAACTAAAATATATTGTTTAAATTTTAATTTAAACAAAAATATTTTTTTTTTTTTATGAAGCCAGTTGATTCTTTCTGGCCATTCCGATTCTCACCAGTTGAACCACCGATTTTTACCGATTGAACCGGCCGGTCCGTTCCCGATTTTTAAAATTAAAGATTATTATAGGCTTCAAGAGAATAGGATGTCAGGTATTAGGGTTTAAATCGAAAAAGTGGCGTTCCTTGGGCAAAGAACAGGTCCCCTACGCATTCACCTTCATAGATTTTATGATCAACTGAACCTCTTTCTCTTCTAACATATAATTCATAATTCTTTAACCTATAGTGCATCATCCTTAGCTGGCTCCTTTTACATAAGCCTTAATCTGGCTCCATTTAAAACTCTGTACAGGTTAACATCATAATTTTCTTTTCAATATATTCAATTGACAATAAAATAATTTAATAGTTTTTTTATGCATCCACTTGCTTTAAATTTGAATCATTCATTTAAAAATTACAATATCAAAATCTAAATATATATAAAAAAAAAAAATCATGTATAATGTACACAAAGGCATGGGTTGATATCACTCATCCTGAAGCCAATTCTGAATTACATAAAATAAGAAGGCCAGACAGAAAGATACTGAGCCTAGAATGACAGATATCCTAACCCAGATGGATGAGACAAATGCTTTTAGAACAAATGAATGCCACATCCAGAACCATACGAGACTGAAAGCAGATCCTACAGAAGCACCAACAATAACTTGGCTCAACGTGTGAAATCGCTGAGAAACTCTCATCCATGACTGCAAAATAAAGAAGGCACAAAATATCATCAAAATAAAGTTCTGCATTGCAATCATTCATAAACCAAGGTTAATCTTGATAGCATAATGTGTGCAAATTTATGAGGTGGAAAAAAGTTTTCAAACCATATTTCTATTGGAATTGTGCATAGTTGCCTTCTTTGCCTAATCTATGCATGCTCTGATTGAATCTCAAAAATTTATATAAAATTATTAATATTCAACAAAAATGGTCACTATTGAAGCAATTGCTCTCTATTTGTTCTATCGGTGGTGTGGACTTCTTTAGGTTGATGCTGCATAGACCAGTGAGATCATTCTTGTTGTCTATGGCAGCCACTTGGTGTGAGAACCGTGAAACCTGCAAAAGAAACAAGGGAAACAAGAAAACAGAGAGGAGAAGAATAGTTCAAGAGGAAGAAGAAGGGAAATTTCGGGGTTTAGGAGAAGTATCAGTATTTGAGTATATTAGTTTTTCTCTCCAAAACATCCTTCTACAGTGACGTTTATACTAGCAAATGAAAAAGAGCTGAGCTGGCAGGCCACTAGCTGGCGCCTGGCTGAAAAGCTGAAAAGTGCAGGAAAAGTGGAAAAAAAGTCAAACTACGGTAGTGGCGTTCGTAGGTTGTTACTGGCTCATGATAGCCGTCTGATATGCCACATCAGGTCTCCCCGGCTGCCGGAGATTCCTCGCCTGAGGATTGAATTTGGACCTCCGCCGTATCCAAAGCCTTATATGGAAAAATGTCTGAAACGTTGAAAGTTGAAGGCGTGAGATATGTGGGTGGAAGATCAACAACATAGGCATTGTTGTTGATTCGTCGAAGTATCGGGACTGGTCCAATCTTTTTCGGGCTGAGCTTGGAGTACGTTCCAGGAGGGAACCTTTCTTTTCTGAGGCGTACCATGACGAGGTCGCCAGGCTGGAAAATTTGCTCCCGCCGATGAAGCTTGCTATTTATACTTCTCATTTGCTGATTCCAGCTTCTCTTTGACATCCCGCAGCAATTTGGTATACACATCAGTCGTGTTAGCAGCGATTTTGCTTTTACATTGTGGTAAGACGGCGACGTCTACCACATGATTCGGGCATTTCGTGTAGACGATGCTGAACGGGCATTGCCCGGTAGATCGGTTGGACATTGCATTGTAGGCAAATTCCGCTTGTCCTAGATAGTCATCCCACTGTTTGGGATGTTCATAGGCAAGACATCGCAACATATTTCCCAATGTGCGATTCACGACCTCAGTCTGCCCATCTGTTTGCGGGTGGTACGCAGAGCTTAATTTGATCTCGGTTCGCAGCCGCTTCCAGAGTTCTCGCCAGAAATGGCTCACAAACTTGACGTCGCGATCGGAGGTAATGCTGCGGGGAAGACCATGTAGCCGGACGATTTCTTTAAAGAATAGGATGGCGACGTTGAGAGCATCAAACGTCTTCTTACATGCCAAGAAGTGTGCCATTTTCGAGAAACGGTCGACGACGACCATGATTGAATCGGCACCATGTTTCGTTCGTGGCAAACCCAATACGAAATCCATGCTTAGATCTTCCCAGATCGAGTTCGGCACTGGTAATGGCGTGTAAAATCCCGTATTCTGAGCATTTCCCTTATAGATTTGGCAGATTGGACACCGCTCGACGAATCGAGTGACATCCATGTTCAGATGTGGCCAATAGAAACGGCTTTGTAGCTGCTCCAACGTTTTAGCTTTACCCAGGTGAGCTGCCAATCCTCCACTGTGCAGCTCCTTGATTAAGTGTTCACGCCACGACGAAGAAGGTATGCAGAGGACATTACCTTTGAACAAAAAGTTGTGCCGAATGGAGTAGTCATGAAAAGGTGTTGGTGGGGAAGCAGACAACTTACTCCATGGTTCAGAGAAGTCGATATCAGTCGAATAGAGTTCCTGTAATGCCTCTAGTCCTGGAGCGTCAACCTGCAGTTTGGTGATGAGCAACGTGCGGCGACTAAGAGCGTCTGCAACTCGATTTTTGGCCCCCGATTTGTGCTTTAACACAAAACTGAATCGTTGTAAGAAGGTTAACCACCGCGCGTGCATCTTGTTCATAGTCTTCTGACTGTTAATGAACTGGAGTGCGTGATTGTCGCTGCTCAAAAGAAAGTCCTGATGTAAGAGATAGTGTTCCCACTGTTTCAATGCACGAACAACAGCGTACAATTCTTGTTCGTAAGCGGACCAATTTTGGCGTGCGGGGCTTAATTTCTCACTGAAGAACTCTATAGGTCGCTCTTCTTGTGAAAGGACTGCACCGACCCCTATGGCAGAGGCGTCTGTATCAACATGGAACGGCTTGTTAAAATCGGGAATGGCTAGTACCGGGGCAGACGTCAAAGCTGCTTTGAGGGTGTTGAAGATGTTTTCTTGGTCGTGAGTCCACCGCAAAGTTCTGTCTTTAAGGCAATTTGTAATCGGCGCGGCAATGATGCTGAACCCCTTTATGAAGCGTCGATAGAAGTTGGCTAGGCCGATGAAGCTGCGAACTTCTGTAATCGTTTGGGGTGTTGGCCACTCGGTAATGGCCAAGACCTTCTGCGGATCCATTAGCACGCCCTTATTGGAGACAATGAATCCGAGAAAATGGACTTTCCCTGTGGCAAATTCGCATTTAGGAAAGTTAATATAGAGTTGATGTTCCTTTAAAATTTTAAAAATACTAGAGAGATGTATGCGGTGGTCGTCCAGCGACTTGCTATAAACAAGTATGTCGTCGAAGTAGACGACGCAGTATTTTCCGAGGGAGGGTTTTAGGATCTCGTTCATGAGCCTCATGAACGTTGCAGGGGCATTGCATAGCCCAAATGGCATAACCCGCCATTCAAACAAGCCGTCCCTGGTTTTGAATGCTGTTTTCCACTCGTCGCCGGGCCTTATTCGTATCTGATGGTACCCGCTCCGGAGGTCAAGTTTGGAGAACAGCACGGCACCAGCCAGTTTATCGAGCATGTCTTCTATGCGAGGCACGGGAAAACGGTATTTGACCGTTATTTTGTTGATGGCTCGACTGTCGACGCACATCCGCCAGCTGCCATCTTTCTTCGGTACGAGTAGGGCGGGGACGGCGCACGGACTCAGGCTGGGCTGGATGAGTTGTTTTTGGAGCAACTCATCAATGATGTTTTGCAAGGCAGTGTGTTCCCGCGGACTCATTTTATAGTGAGGTAGATTGGGCAAATTAGCCCCCGGATGGAGGTCGATCTGATGCTGAAGTGTCCTCAGTGGGGGCAATTCGTTGGGTAATTCCGCTTGCCACACCTCCCAGTATTGATTCAGGATGTCACTAACGGCTGCGGGTAGTTCTGGCCGCAGATCATCTGAGTGTGCTGAAACAGCTACGAGTGCCCACATTAGGGAGGATTCTTTCCAGGACTCAATAAGAGTCTGCCCCGAGACAATGTACATTGCCGAATTTTCAGGATTACCCTTCTCGCTGTTGCCGGCCGCAAGTGGAAGTAGCCTAATCTTGCGTTGCTTCCATTCAAAAGAATAGGTGTTCGCGCGCCCATCATAGACAGCCCCTACGTCAAATTGCCATGGTCTCCCAAGGATTAAGTGGCAGATGTCCATGTCCAGCACATCGCAGAGGACCTCGCACACATAATTCTTTCCAATGGAGAATGTCACACGGCACATTTCAGTTACAGCAATTTCTACTCCCTTTTTCACCCAGCTGATTTTGTACGGACTTGGGTTGTGTGTCGTCTTAAGATGTAATTTCTGCACCACCGACCGCGAGATGACAATCTCTGTGCAGCCATTGTCTATCAGAACGTCGCACACCTGCCCACTGATTGTGCAACGGGTACGAAATATGGAGTTACGCTGCGAGTTATTGGATTGGCGGGGTGCTATCAAGAGATTTTGAAGCACACACACTACGGGTTCGCCTTCATCCGCCTGGAGGTCTTCAAATTCCTGTGCATTGATGTTCTCAGCACTATGATGGTCATCCTTAGCTTCCCCTTCAAGTAATTGAATTTGCTGTTGATTGGGGCAATCATTGGACTTATGTCCAGGTTGAAAGCAGCGGTAGCATTTGAGAGTGGCGGGCTTCACATACGGATTAACATCCTTAGCAGGAAATCTAGGCCGTGTAGCCAATGGAGGTTTTGGTTAAGCACCCAGTATTCCAGCGCCGCTCGGTGAAGGCGCTGTTTGTTTAATTCCGCTTACATGGTGTGGTATATTTCCCTCATTGCTCTGCTCGGGATTGTATCGGCGGGTACTACTGCTCTTGATATGCCGGTTGATCTGCATCTCTGCCTTCAAAGCGTAGTTCACGGCTTGAGACAAAGTCCACACGGAATTCATTTCCAGTTTATCCTGGATAGATTCTCGGAGACCCCCTATGTATCGAGCGACTAATTGAACTTCAGATTCACTCAGGTTATTCCGAGCGCTTAGCCTGTAAAACTCTTCAGTGTACTCGCTCACAGACCGATTGTTCTGTGCGCAATGCTGATATTGAAGATAAAGCATTTGCTCAAAGTCAGTGGGCAAGAAGTGTCCCCGTAACAACCTCTTCATGCGGTACCAGCTGGTGACATTCCCTTTGCCTTCCCTCCGGCGAGCTTGTAGCAGTTGCATCCACCAGGCTCCGGCTCCACCTTTCAATCGACAAGCCACATATTTGACCTGCTTCTCGGGTGCGATCTCCATGTAATCAAAGAAAGCTTCAACAGACCGCTCCCAATCCAGGTAGTCTTCAATGTGCAGGCGCCCGTCGAAGAACGGTATATCCAGCTTTATACGAAATTCTCCCTGTTGGCGCGGTGGGATTAAATGCCTGCGGGGTTGTTCGTAATAGTTAGCCCTGTCCTCATCCGCTGATTCGGATGCTTCGAAAGGTTGCTGCCATTCTGTGTCATCATCTGAGTCTGAAAAGACTGGGTTGGCGGTGCGGGCTCGACGACCGTGAAACGGCCGCTGTGTCGGTGTGGTTGCCCGCGGGACTGGTCTACCCGCCGCCTGTAAAGTGCGATTCGTCCTAAGGGATCGAATCTCTGTTTTTATCTCCGCAAAGAATCGGAAAAATTCCGTGGTGAGCGTCTCCAACTGGCGAGCAATGTTTGCTTGGGTCACCCACATTGCTTCCAAGCTATGATCCTCCTCGACCGCCGGACGTTTACTTCCCTCCGCCATCGCGCTCGGAACCGAGCTCTGATACCAAATGGTGTGAGAACCGTGAAACCTGCAAAAGAAACAAGGGAAACAAGAAAACAGAGAGGAGAAGAATAGTTCAAGAGGAAGAAGAAGGGAAATTTCGGGGTTTAGGAGAAGTATCAGTATTTGAGTATATTAGTTTTTCTCCCCAATACATCCTTCTACAGTGACGTTTATACTAGCAAATGAAAAAGAGCTGAGCTGGCAGGCCACTAGCTGGCGCCTGGCTGAAAAGCTGAAAAGTGCAGGAAAAGTGAAAAAAACGTCAAACTACGGTAGTGGCGTTCGTAGGTTGTTACTGGCTCATGATAGCCGTCTGATATTCCACATCACCACTTATGTAAATAATCTAGGACGGTCTGATTGTTCTCTCTATTGTATGGGTCAGAATTTCCATTTGCGTGCAATTCGACCTGTTTAAAAAGAAAAATGGGTGATTGCATATTCTAAAAGAAAGGTTGAAAAAATAATGAAATCACACCATCATCAAACTTAATCACATTAATTTGAGATCAACCGCATGAATCATTATTTTCTATTCATTCCGACCAATTGATGTATAAGATTTTGAACTTATTCTTCACAAATCATTGTGAACTTTGTTAGACCGGTCTAGCCGGCCCACGCAGGACCGGCTCAGGTGCGAATGAGGCGAGCGCTCTCCGCCTCCTGCTACAGCCGCACGGATCGCAAGCTTTCGGGAGCCAAATAGGAAAGAATTTTGGGGGATTCAAGAGGAAATTTGAATGTAGGGACAATTTAGGGATTTCCTTTTGATTTGTATGCATTAAATACTTTGTTTTCCTACGATTGGGGCATCTTGAATTTGGTTGAGATTTGAGATATCTTAGATTTAGGTTTTCTTTAAGTTCTAATGACGTATAGAGATTTGGGAGAAATCAATTGTATCTTGTTTGTTTTTCTTTCATTAGTTGATTTCGTGCAATAAAATCTACTATTTTTCTTGGATTTCATTGGATTTTGGAAGAATTTCTCGCTATTTTACGAAGATTGATAGGAAATACCCGAGATCTACAAGTGTTTCATATCAAATTGGTATCAGAGCAAGTCTTGGGACCGTTTGTTGGCTGATTTTGGCAAATTTCAGCGACTGATTTTTGGTCGGGAAGGGATGAAGTTGCTATTTTTGTAATCCAAAACCGGAATTTTTGGATTTACAAAAGTTCGGATCGAGATGGCGGCCAAGAAAGTTGATGCGCTAGAAGAAAGGCTTGAAGGAGAGATGAACCAAATAAAGACAACGGTGGAGGAAAGGATTTCCTCCATGGAAGAACAAGTAGCTGATCTCCGAGACATGATGAAGAAAATGTTGGAAATCTACAACCAAATGGCGGATTCCATGGAAAAAGGGGAGGAAGAAAAAAACATGAATTCTGAAATTCGTAGGGAGGAAGATGAGGTGGAAATAGTGGATGGAGAAAGAAGGAAACCCTATATGGAGCCTTTCTAGAGGGAGGATAGATGAGGTAGGTATGGGGAAAGGCATATATGGAGGGACGGAGCAAAGGGGTGCTGATTGAGAATGCCGGGAGGGACATTATGGTTGTCGAGGTGCTGATTTTGAAGGAAGAAGAGGGGAATTCGAAGGGGGTTTGGGCTATGGCGGGGCAAGGGAAGACCGGGAGACGTGGGGTTGGCCGAGCACTTGAGAGAGAGGAAGCTATGGAGGAATATGGGGGAATGGTGGAGATCGAAAGGTGAGGAATTTGAAGATGCCTATCTTCGAGGGGGAGAATGCGTATGGGTGGATCTACAAGGTGGAGAGATACTTTGTCGTTAATGGGCTAACGGAGGAGGAGAAGCTGACAGCAGCATGCATATGTTTGGAGGGGAATGCACTGTCATGGTACCAATGGAGAGACCAGAGGAGACCTACTAGGGACTGGAGGGAATTCATGGACTGCATAATAGAACGTTTCCAAGCTGACCGGAAAGGAGATTTCTATGAGCGGTTCTTTGCTTTGGCATAAGAGGGATCATTTGCAGACTACCGGGAGCAGTTTGAGCACCTAGCCAGTAGGGTGGATAGATTATCAGATACGGTATTGGAGGGAAACTTCATGAAGGGGTTGAAGGCAGAGATCCGAGCAGCAGTGAAGGTTCTGATGCCTCATGAATTGGGGGAGGCCATGAAGTTGGCCCATCTGGTGGAAAATCAGAAGAATCTAGAGAAGGGAGCCAGGAGCAACAGCTCAGGAGGATCTTACAGGACGACGACCACTCTTCTAGCACCCAATGGGCCTGCATCAGGCAACATTAATGAGACCACTAAGGAGAAGCCAGTAGGAGGAGAGAGTGGGTAAAATTTCAAGAGTCTAACAGAGAAGGAGATGCAGGAGAGGAGGGAAAAGCGGTTGAATTTTAGGTCAGAGGACAAGTATATGCGAGGACATCGGTGCAAGGACCGAACTCTTCAGGTTCTGACTATTTGTGATGACGAGGAAAATGAGGGAGGTGAGGGGGAGTTAGAGGAAGAGATGGAGGAGAAGTTGCATTTGGATCTAGCTGAGGTCTCTCTAAATTTAGTAGTATGATTCACTTCAAATCATACGATGAAGGTGAAGGGGGAAATAACAGGCATGGAGGTGGTTGTTTTGATTGGGCCTACCCATAATTTCATTTTCACTCAGGTCGTCAACCAATTGAGAGTGAAATTGGTGGACACCGGTTATTATGGGGTGATGATGGGTACAGGGAAGGTGGAGAAAGGCCAGGAGATCTGTAGAGAAGTGGTGTTGACCATCCAGGGGATTCAGGTAAGGGAGGATTTTCTCCCACTAGAGTTAGGAAGTACCGATGTCATCCTGGGAATGAAATGGTTGCAAACCTTGGAGAAAACCAAGGACAATTGTAGAGCACTCACAATGGAATTAATGGTAGATGGGAGGGGTTATAAGGGGAGATGCCGGGTTATCGAAAGTCATGACATCACTTAAGAACATGGTTAGGGACATACAAGAGGTGGGAGAAGATTATCTGGTGGGACTACACAGATTGAATGTGATCATATTGGAGGAGGGAGGGAAAGTTTCTCTTTCAGTACAACCCTTGATTCAGTAATTTGATAAGGTTTTTCAGCCACCTCAAGGATGGCCACCCCCACGGGAACACGAGCATATTCCCACCTTGAGGACAAGGTGGATATTTGAGAGGGGAGTATTGTTAGACCGGTCCATTGAACCGGTCCAGCCGGTCCACGCAAGATCGGCCCAGGCGCAAACGAGGAGAGCGCTCTCCACCTCCTGCTACAGCCGCACGGGTCGCAAGCTTTCAGGAACCAAATAGGAAAGAATTTTGGGGGATTAAAGAGGGAAATTTAAATGTAGGGACTGTTTAGGGATTTTCTTTTGATTTGTATGCATTAAATACTTTGTTTTCCTAGGGTTAGGGCATCTTGAATTGGCCTGAAATTGAAATTAGATCTATCCCAAGGTGGCTTTTTGGCACTAGAGAGAGAAATTTCTGAGTACAAATTTTTTCAATTTTTTTCAATCCCGTTTTTTCCGCCTTGGATTCGAGAAGGTGGTGGGACATGGTGGTGGATGGCCGCCGGCCATCACCGCCTTTGATTGGAAATGTAACCGATGAAGACGGAATGGGCTTGAAGAAGATAACGAAGCAAGAGCAGCAGTTGTCAAAAATTGTTCGTAAAGCAGAAGACGATCGCAGACGAAGATTAAAGGGTGAACTTGTCTTATTCGAAAATGGTGGTTTCCATTTTGAGAAGACAAGGTACATTGAAGGAAAAGGTAAAAGTGTTGTTTTAAATTCTGGATGAAAGACTCCACTTTTTTTGAAACCTAAAGGCTTTTCTCCATTCGATCATGAGGCTTCATCTTCTGGTATGAAAATATTTGTAAACAGATTTGGGAATTCAAATGCAATCCCTATTTATGACAGCGAGATAAATGTGAATTCTTTGAATTCAGTTGACAAAAATTTACATAATAATATTATGAAGAGGAATGATCAATTGGATAATAAAGCGGATAGCAGTGAAGGAATAGCTGAACCGAGGATGGAAGATTTATCTGAAAAAACTGAGATTAAGAACAAGATGAGTAATCCATGGAGTAATAAATCTTATATCAAGTTGAATTTCAAAAGAGAGGAGGTGGTACTTTCTAAAGATGGAAAAGTTGTTAAGTTAGATGAAGCCACTGAAGTTTTGAATGCTAAAAGATTAGAGTATTCATTGGTTGCTAAGATTTTTGGGAAGGAAATTTTGCCACATTTAGTGGCTTGGGAGTTGAGAAGACAATGGGCTTATTATGGTCAATTTCATTTAACAACCTTAGGAATGGGTTGGTATTTGTGCTCATTCAAAACACTAGAAGCTATGGAAGGAGTTTTATCAGGTGGGCCTTGGTTTGTAAATGATCACATTATGGGTATGGAAAGGTGGTCAATGGAGTTTTCTCCGAGCTCTACGAAAGGATTAACCTCTCCGATATGGATTAGAATGCCACAATTGCCTCTACATTGTTAGGATGAGAAAAATGTTGCTATGATTGCTTCGATGGTAGGTGATCCTTTAATGTTGGATGGGAAAATGTTTCATTGGGGAAGAAGGGAGTTTGCTAGAGTTTGTGTTCGTATGGAACTAGACAAACCTCTTCCCTTGGGTGTTTGGGTGTAAGGATTGGGAGGGAGATTCTTTCAAAAAGTAGAGTATGAAAGAATCTCTTCGTTTTGTTATGATTGTGGTACAATTGGTCATGAAATAATCAATTGTGAAAAGGCAAATGCAGTAGAGAAGAATAGTGTGAATGCTTCTTTCATTCAAGGCAAAGGAAATCTTAAGAAGGCTCAAGAGAAGGAGATGATAGATAATTATGGACCTTGGGTCCATGTTAATTCCAAATGGAATAAAAGGTTTAACAAAGATGCATCCAAGGTGAGACAACTTCAGATGAAAGTTGGTTTGAAACATCAAAGCAAAGATAATTCTTTCCAAGCTACAGGACAACTGATGAATAAGGATAAAAAAATTTGATGGGCACAAGCACAAATTTGCTAACCAGCAGGTATGCTTCAATCCAGAAGTTATATTGGAGAAGGAAATATCGGGTTCAGGAAAAAAACCTCAAATTTCAGCTGAATTGAAAATTCTGGAAGAAAGTTTGGATCCGGGTGAAATAATAACTGGGAACAAATTCAATTTGTTGTCCCAGGTCTTTGCTGAAGAAATGGGTAGAATAAATGGTGAAGATTGTGGAATGCCAGACATAGAAAGTATAGTAGTTCCAGAAAATTTTTTGCTCGGTGACAGAAAAGCAGATTTTAGAATCGGGATTGTCTGAACCGGAACAGCTTGAAGAGGGGAAATTATATCAGAATAATGAGCATGCTGGTATGGTAGAAGGTGTTCAAACTTGTTATACAAGGTTAAAACAAAATGTTGTAGACAAATGGGAGGCTCTTGAGTCAATGAATGCTGTATATGGAAATTCTGCTATGGAGGAACCTTGTATAGCTGAAAGTTTGAAATGTAGAGAACATAAGAAAGAGATAGAAATTCTGGAAGGAATACAATCGTCTGTTACTCCTTTGACTAAGAGAAACAAAGTAAAGAGTAAAGAAGAACTATTAGAGGAGGGGAAATTTTTTATTCCTTCCAAGAAAGGGAGTATGAAGAATAGTTTCAAAAAAAATAGTAATATGTTTGGTCCAATCAAAGGGAGTCTAAGAGGTAAGAAGATGAGTATTGATGATAGTGTTAGACACACTTCATCATGTGTTTCAAGAAATGCTCATTGAATTGTTTAAAAGAATCCATGGTTGGATAGTGGACTGGATAAAGAGGTTGAAGATTGTGAAAAATAGAATGGATGAAGAAGTGAAGATTCAAGGTTTCTTCGTAGTGGATGTTTATGGGATGCAATTACTTTTTTATTCGGTAATTAGTTTTCTTGTTTTCTATAGTTTTATTTTAAGCAATAGTTGGAATTTGGAAAAGGGATTTAGATTAATGGAATCTAGGTATCACTCTATTTTTTATTTTTTACCTAATTGGGAATTCTGAGATACTTATCAACCTTTATGGGTTGTTTAATCTTTGGTATCCCCTCCACCCCAATTGGTTTAAAATGACTAGTAGAGGATCCTACTTTCATTATGAATTTTCCTATTTTCTAAATTTCTTCTATATGCTTAAAATAATTCAAATAATGGCTTCCTTTCTTTTTCAAAGGAATGCCTAAGCCTTTTAGTTTGTAATAGTTTTTTTTATATAATTCCATGCTATATGCATCTTTCAAAAAAAAATAAAAAAAATTGGCCTGAAATTTGAGATATCTTAGATTTAGCTTTTCTTTGGGCTCTACCGGTGTCTAGAGATTTGGGAGAGCTCAATCCTCTCGAATTGAGGATCAATTGTATCTTGTTTGTTTTTCTTCCCTTAGTTGATTTCGTGCATTAAAATCTACTATTTTTCTTGGATTTCATTGGATTTTGTAAGAATTTCTCACTGTTTTACGAAGATTGATAGGAAATACTCGAGATCTATGTTGACCTTTGTATAAAATCCAGAAGAAACAAAAAAAAAGATCCCGTAAATAATACCGGTAAAACCATCGTATCCACGAATCCATCTGAAATCGGCGCCGTTCGCATCACTTCTCCGCAAATCCGGCGCAAATCCTGCGAACCGCTTCGATCGCCTCCCATTCGCGGCTATAAAACGAAGCCGATCACCCAGCTTCTTCGGACACACGCGACTTCACCCCTCTCCCGATACCTCTCTTCCACACTCGCCTCCTTCGAGCTCGCCTCAATCCCGAACTCCCTTCCTCCTCCCGATCCCGTCAAAGCCGTAGAAGCTCTACCCGATACCTCTTGCCGCTGCTCTCCGACCCAGTCCAGGAACTCGACCGAAACTCTCTCCCACGACACTCTCTGCCTCTATCCGACCTCCTCCCTCCTTTCCCGTCACTGTGCCGACGCCTCTGACCGAACCTTCCCATCGCCTCCACCTCAACATCCTTGCTTCTCCGACTTCCTCTAGCCGAGAGAGAGAGAGAGAGAGAGAGAGAGGAGAACCTCATACCTAACCGACTGCCCTAGCCTCTTCCTCCCCGGCTTTGCTCCTTCGAAGACCCCTGCCTCTCGGTTCGGCAGTCACGACATTTTGATCAGAAGCATCAACAGGAGCCCGCTAGCTGGAAAGGTAATTTTCTCCCTTATGCACGCTCGGCCAAATCCCGTAGACCTGCTGAACAGCAGAAGGAAAGGGAGAGATAATTTATGTAATTTTGATTAAAATTAATTTTGATTAATTTTAATCAAAATTAATAATAATCATTAATTAATTTTAGTTAGTCTTAATAAAATTTTTTTTAATTGATTATAATTAATTTTAATTAACTGAAACTATTAAATTATTTATAATTATTGAAATTAATTATAGTTAATTTTAAGAAATTAATTATAATGAATTTTAATTAATTATAAATAATTTTAATTAAAGTTAATATTCATTAATTATGATTAATTAGTATTTTTTTATCAAAGATTAATTAACATTAATTATTTATAATTAATTAAAGTTGTTTATAATTAATTATCTTAATTAATTATAATAACTTTTTACAAAAAAATTCCCCCCCACTCTCTTTCCTCGATGTTCGCGTCGGACCGGAAAACCGCCTATACACGCCTTTATTGCGCGTGGTGGGATGGGACCCG